TAAAGGTTCAGTTATCTCTTACTTCACATCATCTCCAATATTTTTCAACCGATGACCCTTGTTTAAAATATATACACATGTATTACAGCAATTACCATCTTTTCAGCTGTCAAAATCATGTCAACATTCGCGGGATTTAAAACGAAAGTAGAATGGTAGATGAATACCGATCCCGATCAGAATTAAAACGAAGAAAAACAGAAATAAAAAAAATCGAGGCGGGGGTATAAAATCGGGGCGGGGGGGGGGATGAGAATCTAGGAATATTTTTATTATGGCTTAACTTAAGGAAAAAGTAGGTCACTGTGACCTACTTTTTGAATTTTGCAGGCATTTGTTTTCCAATTGTTTAAAAGGCATATTTTAATTACCTTCAGACCTACGATCATCAAACTTGGTCAGTAGTCGCATCTTTGGACTTTGAAAAATGTCGACCAAAATATAGGTCACAGTTGCCTACTTTTGACATTTTATGGCTTTATTTAAGTATTTTAGGTATTTATTGGCTTAGAATCATCAAATTTTGTAAGTCAATGCATCTTGAGTTTTTGGAGAGTGACAACCAAAAAGTAGGTCACAGTGACCTACTTTTGACATTTTATGGCTTTATTTAAGTATCTCCAGTCCTTATTGCCTTAGAATCATCAAACTTTGTCAGTTGATGCTTCTTGGGTTTTCAGAAAGTGACGACCAAAAAGTAGGTCATGGTGACCTACTTTTGCGGTTTTGTGGCTATATTTAAGTATCTCAGGCACTTGTTGGCTTAAAATAATCAAACTTTGTCAGAAGTCACGTGACGCAGGACAAGGTAGACTTGTTGTACCGAGCTCCTGAGTCTTCTGACAATTTTCACATATCTACTGAGTTTGGATTATTCATTTTCATTGGATATGTGTCAGGAATCCTTCCTGATTATGTACATACGTTTATTTTTTCTGGATGTTTAATTTTGGACTTTTGATGGACTTTTGATTTGATTGTTTACAATCTGTGAACTCGGGTGAATACCTACTCACCAGCACTACCTGTATTATATGTTAGGTACCTGTACGACTACGAGTACCGTCATGGCTGAGCAGCTCTCAGAACCAACGATTAAACCGTTATATCTAAAGGATTCAGATATTCAATGCAAAGACAAAGATCAGATCACAGACTTTGATCTTATGGAAAGTGTTATGGCCAAAGTGGACAATTCCCTACATTGCTTACAGCTTGATAGAAACCTGTGGCGTTTTTATCTTAAAGACAAAGAAAGCAGGGACAAGCTTCTTTCAGAGGGGTGCGAGATCAACAACATATCCCTGTCCTTTTTCGAAACAAACCCGTATTCCTCCGGAAACCATAACCCGAATGAAAAAACTTTGAAAATCAGAATATGTGGGTTACTGCTTTCGGTATCTGACACCTCTGTGATGGAGCTTATAGAAAAACTAAAATTAGATCTAAAAAGCAAGATTCTTTATGAAAAAATCCGACACCCAGTCACAAAGAGAATGACGAGTGTATTGAATGGGAACCGCTTCGTTTACGTAGCACCCCTCCCTCCGGGAACATCTCTTGCTAGAGTACATTACTGTGCAGGGCTAAGATGCCTCATCTTTCACTATGGGCAACCTAAACATAAAAGGAAACTTGTGTGCACCAACTGCTGGGACACGGATCACACCAGGGGCAACTGTAAAAACGAACCTAAATGCAAGGTGTGTTTGGAGCCAGATCATTCACCTGGAGAAGCTAAGTGCAGATTCTACGAGCCTCAGCAAAATGTGATCGCATTCAATGGAGAAGATAATGTGCTATCAAATTTCTTCCCCTGCGAAATCAACCTCTACGGGTTTCGTCACAAATCGGCAGAGCATGCCTACCAATATGCTAAGACAACGTGGTGTGGCGACCTCGATGCAGCCAAAAACATCTTAGAAGCGGATGATGCTCTTTCTGCCAAACGACTCGGTGACAAGGTCAGGATCAACGATCAGTGGTCTTCTACAAGTGAAGCCGTCATGGCGGAAGTGATCAATAACAAGTGCGCTCAAGTTCAGCACTTCCGAGAAAAATTACGATCGGTCAAAAGAAATGTGATTCTACATACAATAACACCTGGGGGACCGGGCTCAACAAGACAGGAACAGAAAATACCAAGCAGCAAGCGTGGCCGGGTAAAAACCTCTTGGGGCAAATACTCAGCAAACTCGCAAAAAAAATCCGTAAGCGCAAAAAAAGCGATCAATGGAGCAGTCCTAATCAGAAGCAAAACTCAAAACAGAGCAGCAAACAGCGCGACATATCAGTGATGATCAGTGAAATGCGCGCCCGTCAGCAGGAATCCGATTCTGTATCCCCAAGTGATCTCTCATCGGAGACGGACAAAGATAACGAGGAAACATAATGCTCCAATAGACTGCTCCTTTTGAATTCAAACTCATGATTATGATATTAAAATATTGAGTCCCCCTGCTTATTTAATTTTACAGGGAGGGGGGTTCAAAATATTATGGCCATAAAATATCGAGTCCCCCTGTCCATTTTAATTTTAGAGGGAGGGGGTTCAAAATATTATGGCCATAAGATATTGAACCCCCCTGCCCCTTTGATTTAACAGGGAGGGGGGTTCAAAATATTATGGCCATAAAATATTGAACCCCCCTGTCCTTTTTAAATTTAGAGGGTGGGGGGTTCAAAATATTATGGCCATAAAATATTGAACCCCCCTGCCATTTTGATTTAAAAGGGAGGGGGATTCGGGTCCCCTTCCCATTTAAATTTACAGGGAGGGGGGTTCAAAATATTATGGCCATAAAATATCGAGTCCCCCTGTCCATTTAATTTATGAGGGAGGGGGTTCAAAATATTATGGCAATAAAAAATTGAGTCCCCCTGTCCTTTTAATTGATGAGGGAGGGGGTTCAAAATATTATGGCCATAAAATATTGAACCCCCCTGTCCTTTTTAATTTTAGAGGGAGGGGGGTTCAAAATATTATGGCCATAGAATATCGAGTCCCCTTGCCCTTTTGATTTAAGAGGGAGGGGGGTTCAAAATATTATGGCCAAAAAATATTGAACCCCCCTGCCCTTTTGATTTAAGAGGGAGGGGGGTTCAAAATATTATGGCCATAAAATATCGAATCCCCTGCCCTTTTGATTTATGAGGGAGGTGGTTCAAAATATTATGGCCATAAAAAATTGAGTCCCCCTGCCCTTTTAATTGATGAGGGAGGGGTTCAAAATATTATGGCCATAAAATATTGAACCCCCCTGTCCTTTTTAATTTTAGATGGAAGGGGGTTCAAAATATTATGGCCATAAAATATCGAACCCCCCTGCCCTTTTGATTTAAGAGGGAGGGGGGTTCAAAATATTATGGCCATAAAATATTGAGTCCCCCTGCCCTTTTGATTTAAGAGGGAGGGGGGTTCAATATATTATGGCCATAAAATATTGACCCCCCCTGCCCTTTTGATTTAAGAGGGAGGGGGGTTCAAAATATTATGGCCATAAAATATCAAATCCCCTGCCCTTTTGATTTATGAGGGAGGGGGTTCAAAATATTATGGCCATAAAAAATTGAGTCCCCCTGCCCTTTTAATTGATGAGGGAGCGGGTTCAAAATATTATGGCCATAAAATATGGAGTCCCCCTGCCCTTTTAATTCAAGAGGAAGAGGGGTTCAAAATATTATGGCCATAAAATATTGAGTCCCCCTGTCCTTTTTAATTTTAGAGGGAGGGGGGTTCAAAATATTATGGCCATAAAATATTGAACCCCCCTACCCTTTTGATTTAAGAGGGAGGGGGGTTCAAAATATTATGGCCATAAAATATTGAGTCCCCCTGCCCTTTTGATTTATGAGGGAGGGGGTTCAAAATATTATGGCCATAAAAAATTGAGTCCCCCTGCCCTTTTGATTTAAGAGGGAGGGGGGTTCAAAATATTATGGCCATGAAATATCGAGTCCCCCTGTCCTTTTGATTTAAGAAGGAGGGGGTTCAATATATTATGGCCATAAAATGTCGAGTCCCCCTACCCTTTTAATTTATGAGGGAAGGGGGTTCAAAATATTTTGGCCATAAAATATTGAACCCCCCTGTCCTTTTAATTTATGAGGGAGGGGGGTTCAAAATAATATAGAGTATGATAATTTTACATCATAATGATTGCTTCATATTGGATTTCTGTTACATTTTTGAGTGGTGGGATTTTAAATATCATGTCTGTAAAAAAAATATTGACCATGCCTCTTACATTTTTTTTTTTCATTTGTGCAAAATATCATTGCTGTAAAATATTGACCAACCCTCTTACATTTAATTTTTTCAATTGAGGTAGGTGGTTCAAGATTGATGTACCTCAGTGAATTAAAAGAGTGGTTCAAAATAATATTGCTGGTAAATATTGCACCACAATTAGAATTCCAGGGGTTTTCATTTCTGTTTAATGTTGCTCTCTCCCTTCATAAAACACCAAATATTCCAGTTACATGTACACTCTTTGGGTAAACTTTTGAATCTCACAATATTTCAATAGTCTGATAAATAGTGGATATGTGTGGCTGATAACTGTTCAGCTTTTTGTTTCTTTCAATTTAACCATTCTTAAACATAACATGAATAAGAGAACACAAAGTCTGTTTCATTATAATAAATCAATTTATAGCATCTCATTTAGATAAGTCATAACAAAAACTGGTAACATTTAAGAAATAAATAGAAACACTTAAATAGAAATACAAACATTAAAAAATAATCTTTTCTCTTATTCATTCTGCTTAAGCACAAGTTAGTCAGTGTTCTAAGCACAATAAATTCAAGACTCTAATCTTTTCTTTAAATTCATTCTCCTGAAGCTCAATTTGGAATGTTCTAAGCACAATAGATACAGGACCCCAATCTGTTCTTGAAAGTCATTCTGCTCAAGCCCAAGTTGGAATGTTCTAAGCACAATAGATACACAATCTTTTCTTTAAAGTCATTCTGCTAAAGCTCAAGTTGGAATGTTCTAAGCACAATAGATACATGTTTCCACACTGTCTTTCTCCTTGATGCCAAGGCAGGCATGGTAGCACCATCTCAAGCAGGAACTACACTGAATCTGTTTCCTGTAGCTAGCTGCGCAGAAGGGAAGGTCGCACGCAAGGCTCCTTTTGTCTGCTTTCCCATTAGTGAGCAGCTCCCCACGCACATAAGCTCTGTAGGCCTTGATGTGACACAGCCGCATGACTTGGGGGGAGATGTGTGATAAAATGGCTGCTGAATTCTACAAATTATTAAAAATAAAATGTATCAGACACCTTGCTGAGTAATGTAGGCCTCCTAATACTATTTGCTTAAGTAACTAATTTAAAAAAAAAAAAAAATATTCGCTTATTGTCATTACTTTACATTCTTTTGACATTATTATATACATGTACATTTTATTATTTTTGTTACCTGCAGTAGAAAGATAAATGACAAATCTCTTGATTTCTTACCATTAGCACAAAAACTCCACAGGAATGTCCATCTTTCTGAACTGAGGACTTAATGGGGCTAAGGGTCCAGGATAAGGGAGTTGATGGCTCTGCTTGAAATCGGGTTTCCATAAAGCATCTTTAAAAAAAAAGAAGAAATCTTTTAAAATTTTAAAATATAATAGTGAGATGGAATACATGAATAATTTAAATATGTAACCTCTGATTTTTCATTCATTGAGAGAGAAAGAATTTGCGAAATGTATATAAAAAGTATTTACCTCCAGTGTCTGGCAAATTGTTTTTCTCTTTGTCTGTTGGGCAGAGAATCCAAAATGAGCAGAGTTTCCAATTTTGGGTAGCCAACCATTAGAAACCAGTGGTCATGATGGCATACAGGCAGCAAAATGATGTCATACGAGTGAAGTGGAACCTATTTGAAATAAAAAATGGGTGTAATTAATTAAGGCTTCTTCAGAAAGTATTTACAAAGTAGCTGTCAGAGTTTAAGATGCACGGAAGGGCTAGATATTAATCATTTAAATAATTTCATGCATTTTAATTTTTAAGTTTAAGACTAAAAATATTGCACTTTTTTTTTTAATAACTCGATGATGTCAAATATTTAAACCCTTCTTTGGGTTTAACTTTCATTTTTACTGCAGTCAGAAGTGCAACAATTACTTGTAACAAAGATCTTATTTTTTCACTAAAATATAAATTGCAACTATTTGATGTAAATTATTTAAACTACACCTTACTAGTACTGCTTTCCAAGCTGAGAATAGATTATTGCATTTTATAATTAATTTTTACACCAATGATAAATATTTTTAAAACACATCAGTGGTCAGGAATGCCCAACACAATAATTTCAATAATTTAAAATGAGATAGATTCAAAATTTAGTATTTATACCCCCGCTCCGAAGGAGAAGGGGGTATACTGTTTTACCCTTGGGTGTCTGTCTGTCTGTCCGTCTGTCTGTCTGTCCGTCCGTAACAAATTTTCGTCGCAGTTTTCTCAGCAACTACTCATCGTAGAAGCTTGAAATTTTAACACAATCTTCTCTGAGGCATGCCATATGTTGGGATACATTTTTGTTTAAATCTGATGTCAACTTCCTGTTTGTCTGTGCGTCTGTCCATTTCATACATAACAAATTTTGGTCGCAGTTTTCTCAGCAACTACTCATCGCAGAAGCTTGAAATTTTAATACAATTTTCCCTGAGTCATGCCATACGTTGGGATAAATTTTTGTTCAAATCTGATGTCAACTTCCTGTTTGTCTGTGCATCTGTTTGTTTCATACATAACAAATTTTCGTTGCAGTTTTCTCAGCAACTACTCATCACAGATGCTTGAAATTTAATACAATTTTCTCTGAGTCATGCCATATGTTGGGATACATTTTTGTTCAAATAGGATGTCAACTTCCTGTTTGTCTGTCTGTCTGTTCGTTTCATACACAACAAATTTTCGTGGCAATTTTCTCAACAACTTCTCATCGCAGAAGCTTGAAATTTTAATACAATCTTCTCTGAGTCATGCCATACGTTGGGATACATTTTTGTTCAAATCAAACAACTTCCTGTTTGTCTGTGTGTCTGTCCATTTCATACATAACAAATTTTCGTCTCAGTTTTCTCAGCAACTACTCATCACAGATGCTTGAAATTTTAGTACACTCTTTGTTGAGACATGTTATATAGTGGGATTCATTTAGATGTTAATCTGATGTCAACTTCATATTTCTCTGTGCATTTGCCTGTAATTGAGCTTCTATATATATTAACATGGTAGTGTTTATTCACATCAGAGCGGGGGTATTACTAGTGAGCATTGGCTCACAGATTTCTTGTTTTATTTAAATAAGAAAAATTGTATGTCATAAAAGTTTCATGGTTTTATCTTAAAACTCAGAATTGGAAAAAATAATGTTACATGTATTAAAAAACATCAATCAAAAACCTTTTTTTTAAAATTAATTTTTTAAAAATATATATACAAGAGAAGAAACTAATTAATAAAAGTTAAGAATTTATAATTTCTATTGCTGTTCAATTACAATTTCGGAGCATAAAAATTACATTTCTTTAGATTGGAAGTTTTAGAAAATCTTTAAGGACTTATAGCTTTTGTTATTTTCTTTTTTTTTCAGAAAAAGTTGCATTAATTATAATTTAAAAACTCTGAAACTTTTTTATTTAATGGTCATATTGCCACTACAAAAATTTTAACTGGAATACATGTACTATATGATGATATAGAATTAGTGAAAAATATGTTATGGGTAGTTGAAAAGAACTTTATTCGGTAATAACCAATATTTGCCCCCCAAATCAAACTTTGATGGAGGTATATTTAATTAAGTTCTTAAACAGTGGAGTATATGCTGACTTCAAAGCACTGAATATTTTCATAAGTAATGACGTCATATGTATGTAATGACGTCACAAACATGACGTAAATTTCAGTTTTTAATGAATTCTACAGAAAAATGTACATATTTCGTCGATATTTTGAGTAAAAGTCACCGAGCGCATGTGTGTTCAGGATCAATATTTTAATATAATGTGTAGAATGATAATATCAATGAAATATGTATATATTAATCCTGAACAAACATGTGCTCTATAAATGTAAAAGCTAAAATTGTTGAAATTTTGTCCATTTTGTCCTCTTTCTGAAAAAATTTCTAAAATTGGACTAGTTTGTGACGTCATAAAAACAAAAATTGTGAATAAACTGCTTTGAAACTATAATATGTTCTGTTAATTTATATTTCTCATACAATTTATTGAATTCAGCACATTTCATGAAGTTTTCAAAATGTAACATTTGTGGGGGCAAGTATATGCAATATACCGCATATAGTTCTTTCCAAAAAAAAAAAAAAAAATTTAATAGTCAATATTTTTTTAATTCACCCACATACAATAAATTGCTAAAACAAAGATAATAGAATTCCTATTTCTAAATACATACCTGTGTGTTGACTGGCCATTCTCGTCTGTCAGGTGGACTGCCGAGGAAGTTCACCAGCTCTGTATACTCGGAGACCTCCATCTCTTCTTGAGGATGACGTTGTAATGATTATTATTGCTTTAATTAACTCTATTTAAACACCTGAATGTTGTATGTATTGTTAACCACCCCTCAATCTGGGCTACCCTATCAGTGCACTCTCAAAACACTGTATTGCATAATATAGAAACCACAAAGGGGAAGCAACAAGACAGTGGGGATTGTTGACCTCCTATGTTGACCTCCTATGACACCTCCCTGTGTACACACAATACACAGGTGCTATACCCCTGTCACCTCAATGGAGAGATACCTTTCTTATTCAATAGCATTGTTCCTTAAAATTTCCTTTATCAAATTGTTAATTACATGTATTAGATAGATGTAATGGACTTCTACAAGCTGCGTGCACGTGAAATGAGTAAAATCAAAAATACACTTGAATAAGCGTATTTCTTAATACTTTTGGATTAAATACTTTGATATTTAGTATATTAAAATCTATAGATTGTGAAGACAAGATTATATCGTCATTACGCACGTGCATTCACATGCGCACGCGTGCAATGCTAAAATTTGAATGAAATTGGTACACTTCTGGGTAAACATTGTTAATTAAAGTATCAAATGCAACGAGTTTGTCTTATTTAATGAAGCTTATAGGGAATATGGCACCAAAAGGGAGTTGGGGAGCGTTTGGGGAACATCTGTAATGGTCCCCGTTACAATTAGCACTAGTTCTTTATTACTTTTGAGTGAGGGTCAAGGTCAAAGGTCAAGGTCATTTTAACAAAAACCATATATAAGCAATTTTAATACTTTCCCAATGACCTTGACCTTTGACCTTGACCTTATCTTCAAGGTCAAAGGTAGAAAGATCTCATGCATTGTCCCCATGTCTTTACAACTTGTCGTTAAAAAGTTTTTAGTTCTTCATAAACATCAGAAACTGTAAGGAGCAATAACTACTAAGAATGGTTGATGAATCCTTTCGCAATGAATAGATTCAAGAGTCTTCTAAATTAGTCGTAGACTTTGTTGAAGGTTTCAAACGTCTGCAGTTTACGGCTTCGGAGGAGTAGCGATAACAAGGGTTTACACTGAAAGGGGCATTAACTTTTAGAGGGGTCAATCTTAGGGGAGAAGCATGAAATCTCTGAAATGGTTTTAAGAGTACATATTAAAGATGCAAAGGTGTTTAAAATTTGTTGAAGAACGAAGGAGCTACAAAAAAGGCTTAATTTTTTCATTTTTTTAATGACCTTGACCTTTGATTTGACCTACTTTTCAAGGTCAAAGGTCATAAGATCTATGAGTTGGTCCCATATCTTTACCCTTGTCGTTTAAAATTTTAAAAAAATTTTTGTAAAAAACT